TGTGACCCTGAGGGTCCTGAGACCACACTGTCCCAGCGAGGGTTCCACCCCCTGCTTAGCCACTGGAGTGATGTCCCTCAGCGAAGCCGACTTCTAAAAGTTCCAAGTTTGTGCTCTGCTTCTCTATCACTTGCCTGAAGTGGTGGACAGAGGCCCCCTCCCCCGCTGTCTAGCCTCCCAAATATCGCCTTGGATTCACTTCTCCACATATCCTACCTTCCAGAAAGTGGTCGCTTTTCTGTTCAGAGAGTTGCTGCTATTCTTTTCTTCAATCTCCTATTGAGTTCGTAGGTGTTCAGAATGGTTTGATCCTTATCTAGCTGAATTCCTGAGACCAGACGAAATTTAGGTCCCTACTCCTCCTCCATCTTGCTCCTCCTGAGAGGTATATTTTTGTCATCAGTATTTTAAAGATAAGGCTTTAAAGATAAGGCTTTAAAGAAAGAGTAACTGAGTTGTGCAAGGTCATTCAGCTAGTAAATGATTGAGGCATGACTTGAATCTAGACTAGACAATTGCAAAACCATTGTTCTTTTCATTGAATTATACTTTCTCTTAATAACTAATAATCTCAAAGTTAAAGTGCCATTTTTAGTAATTAACTTTGTTTACAGAAAATAACTTATTTTCCTCAAACAAGTCAGTCATGACATAAAATCGGTTTGCTTCCCTGTTTTCTAGAAATCCCTATTAATAATCTGTTCTGAAAGATTTGAAAATGCAAAATTGTGAAGAAAGCTAAAATTGATTTTTATTTAGTGCTTATTAAACAACTTAAATATTTCAATCAGGACATATAATATGCTTTCTTTCTTCCCCAATATCTAATGTTAATTACTTTTTCCATGTGAATGGAATGGTGTTTTCTTTTGTTGTAATGTAGTGTGATAGGGCAATAAACCAATAATAGACATGCTGTTTTAATTTTCCATTTAGTTTTTCATTTTTTTTATTTTTGGGGACTTCATATAAATAGCCTTTAATTTCTGATTATAACAACAGAACCAGAACTATTGAAAAGAATTCCAATTTAAAAAAAAAATAAGTGGAAGTTAGTTTTTGATGGACGCTAGTAATATAATAATAGCTGTTAAAATATTTGAACAGTTCAGGAAAGAGAATGCCCTCAGTCTGAGGTTGAATAGAAATAGTACTTATCTCTCAATACTAGGAAATACATGAAAGGTTTTTATCAAGTTAGGGGAGAGAAGAAAAAATACAATTAAAGGAAAATGGACAGTTTGAAATATATAAAGAACATTACAAACTTCAAAATGACTGTAATATAAAAAAGAAGAAAGTTTCAATAGTTAATATCAAGAATGAGAAATGAGAAAAAATGCTGCATAAAAATGAGACTCATTAGGTCATGCTACTTGTTAATGATAGGGCTAGTACTTTAACTTTGATATGTCTAATTTCAATGTTTGTTCTACACTTTAAGGCAATATTGAATGAACATTTGTAAAATGGAATATGTGTATGCTCTAGAGACACCAAGAATAATTCCATGTCAGCAGAGTGCTCAGTAACAATTAACTAAATGAAAGATGAGTGAATGTGTTAACCATATCTCAAATGAACATTTATCCTACCCCAGTTGATTGTTAAAGTAAGTAAAAAAGATGACATAAAACATTACACAAGGAAGTAAAGTAGTAGTTTCCTATTTCTTATTTGATATATTTAATAAGTAACATTTAAAGAACTCAGAACACTTTAAAATGGATCAATTTTTGCTTTCCTACTTTGTTTTGCAAACCATTTAAGTCTGTTACTGACCTCCTGGTATGCTGTATTTGGTGTAAGGCAGATTTATTACTGAATATACTAGAAGGATCTCATTATAACAGTTTAACACATTACGCAGATTCTTGCTATAAGTCTTTTAAAAGAACGTAATACGGTCAGTGCTTTAATTTTGTCAGTGCTTTAATTTTTCAGGGCAAGTCTTTTGAAATGTGTTTGAAAAACCCTGTAGTTGTTGGTCTCCAAACCCTAAATTGAATTCTGCCTTCAGTAGTAAAAGTAAAGTTAGGTAAAAATTACCCACAAAACTACTAGTTATGGTCCCTGTAAAAACCAGATACAGTGGCTGTAACCATAAGTCACAGACTTCCTGCTGCTGTTTCTGGCCAGATTAAAGAGGACACTTGAGTTCCAACTCTCACCCCTGCTGATTAGGGTGAGGGGATTCATGTTACTTTAAAATCATCATTAGCTGGAAACTGGGGACTGAAAAGAAAAAGCCCTAGTGCGGGAATCTTAATGAGACTCGTGAGAAAAGATGTGTCTATTAGACGTCTAACATCTTGGCATTTGTTTTCCAAGGGTCCACCAGGTCTAGCAGGTATTCCAGGTCCATCAGGAAAGAGAGGTCCACGGGTAAGTAAATGGGCTCCATGTCTCACTTGCTGTTAGAATTAGTAACTTTGCAGTATGTTTTCCCTAGTATCGTACCGTATGTACTTCCTTTGGAAACCTGCCTGGATGTTCAAATGTAGCCCTACCTTTGCCAACTCAAGAGAAACTCAGGAACATGTGCAACTTGTTTATTTGAGAGTAAACACCCAGCCAAAGCATTCTCTGTGAACATGCCCAAGAAGGATTATCAAATTTGTAGATTAGTAGCTCTTCTGGTGCTACTTGTAACATTATTCTTAGTTATAAAGTGATCTCATCGGTAGTTGATAGTTCAAGGTGGGGTTCATTTGCTTTGGGAAATGAAGAGGAGTGGGCTGCCTTAAAATAGTATGTTCCTGGATTACATAGTGGAAAATGCTGGAACAACTGACTAGAAAAATAATTGTCCTGAGGAAAAAGCTGCTGTAAGCATCAGCATTATACAGGTCCAACAAAAGATTTACTGCTGTGTTAAAATTCATTTCTTTCAAAACTAAAAAAAAAAATCAATGTGGACTTTTACTAACAGAAATTCTTCAAAGAGCCAGAAAAGGAATTACGACTGTGTGTTATAAAGACAAATGCACATGCCATGGACAATCCACTTTCTTTCTATCCTGATTTTTATCTATCATACAAACAACATAATGAGAAATCATATCCTGAAATATTACTGTGAGCCATCCATATTCACAACAAAGTCTTGTCTGTATGAGGCCTCAGGAATGCTCACTGGTGGTAGTTGGTTAGCATTTGGTTTACTTCTCTCTACTTGATGATCTGTCATGTTCCTCCCAGAGTCTCTCATCAATGTGCCCACTCTCCTGTAGCTGGCACACCTCTTCCATCCTCCTTGCTCTCTGTGTGGATCCTACTCTTCTGAGGGAGTGGATCTCTCTGCTCTAATTCCATTCCCTTTCCACTACTGAGGCTGTTCTCCCACAGCATGACCTTCAACGTCTGAGTCCAGCTATTTTCATGATACAGCAGTTTCCTTCTCTATCTTTTTTTAAAAATTTATTTGTCCAATCCTTTCTTTAAGGAAGGAACACTATTCCTCTTCTCAAGACTAATTATTACATTTGTGTTCCTAATTTTATCTCCATTCCATTATTTAACTTAAAACTTGCCACTTTGCAATTTTTGTCTTCTGAGATTTTATCTCATTTGGCAACAACCAACTAATTATCCTTTAAAAAATAAAACTCGAACTTTCACTGACATTAATTTTTCCTAAAGTTACTGTCCGAGCTCACGGTTGCACTATTGAGCTTTGTAAAATAATAGTTTACGCCATTGCCCTACATCTCCACCAATAAATCATTTGTAAATCCCCATAAATTTTTCCATCTATTTTATTAAAATTTATGTTTTGAAGGTTACAAATGACATATGCCATAACATCTAATCCTTTTCCCTTAGTTTTAATCTTGCTAGTTATACCTTCAATATTGCCATTGCTGATGCCCCTCTCCTTTCTGAAACACAATGCTCTATTAATTCAGAATTGAAAAGACAGAAAAATAAGTAATTATTAACTATATGTTATATGTTAACCTAGAGGTATGGCTGAAGAGCCCAGAAGTGGGCACCAAACCCAAATGAATATAGGGGTCTGCAAACCAGGAAGGCTCTTTGGAGGTGGATCTTAGTTCCTCTACTTGTCGGTTCTGTGAGCTTAAGTTTCTTCCTTTGTAAATGGGAGTAAAAATAACCACCTTGCAGGATTGTTATAAGGATTAGTAATAAGAAATATAAAGCATTAACAGTTATCTATGCATAGTTGGTAAATAGAAGCAATTACTGACAAATATTTATTAACTATCTAATATGTTCCAAGTACTATACTGATAATATGAAAAACAGTCCCTTTTTAAAAAAAATTTCAATCCTAGAACTAAATAGCATGTCATAAGATAGTTAAAATAGCAATAAAATATTTAACTAACAGATTAGAACAGTGTAAGAAATGTCCTAAAGCAATGTGCAATTAATTACAAATGAATTTTACATGTAGCAATTTCTATGGAAGTTACTAGGAAAGAGAAGTCACTTTATGATGGTGTAGCTAGGATTTAAAAATGAGGTGGAATCTTAGTTGACACTTGAAGAATGATTTGGGCAGCTGTAGGGGGGCAAAGTGAAATGAAATAAGTCTTTAAGGCATACATAATGGCATAAGCAAAAACCCAAGTGCAGAAAGGGTTAGCACATGTTGGCAGAAGAATAAACATTTGCACTTTCTTATTTTTAGGCTTCTTACTCTGCACAGCTTTTAGAAGTAGCACTATGCAATATGGCTGGAGATAGGGGTGAAAAATAAAGGAGATAAGCATCTCAAGGCAGTGTTTTGAATCAAAAGAAGGAAATATATACTATAATTAGTGTAGCTCTCTTTTCCAAGATGAAATATCCAACATCTAGGAAAAGATAAAGAACTTTGTGGGGGGAAAGAAAAGGTGACATACGTTTTAATGAAATTATGCTATGTAATATTTATCTGAACGTTGCAATAAACACTGTCTATTATTTGTATCTAGATCTGTTCTAAGAGTGATCTGACCTTTTTACTATTTGCAGGGCATACCAGGGCCACATGGAAATCCTGGGTTACCTGGATTGCCAGGTCCAAAGGTGAGTGATGACTAGTGAGTATCATATTATTTCCCTCACATTATTAAAGAAGGTCCTTAACTTTTTTTAAAATTGAGATATAGTTGACATAAACATTATACTAGCTTCAACTGTATAACATAATGATTCGACACTTGTACATACTGCAGATAATCACCACAGTAAGTCCAGCCACCATCCATCACCATAAAAAATTACAAAAAATTTTCTTTCTTATGATGAAAATTTTCATGATCCACTTTCCTGGCAGCCTTCAAATATGCATGCAGTACCATTGACTGTAATCACCATGCCACACATCATATCCCCATGACCTATTTATTTCACAACTGGAAGTGTGTACCCCTCTTCCGTCCCTGCAACCACTACTCTGTTCACTGAATATGTAAATTTTGTTTTATTTGTTCACCTGTTTTGTTTTTTAGATTCCACATATAAGTGAGATCATACAATATTTATATTTCTCTGTCTGGCTTATTTCGCTTAGCCTAATGCCCTCAAGGTCCATCCATGTTGTCACAAATGGCAAGATTTCATTTTTTATTTTTTATT